CCCAAAAAAAAACCCCTCCCCCCCCGCTTTGTTTTTAGGAAATTTAGATCCCCGGCGGTTCCCCCCCCCCCCCCCCCCCCCACTCCTTCCCACTCCACTCCTCATTCCTCCTCTCACCTTTCTCTTTGTTTTCCCCCTTCTCTCCTCCTCTCCTCCTTTTTTAGCTTTCTATCCTCCCCTCCTGTTACTCTGCCCTCCGTCCCTCCACTTTCTCCCTGGAACTCTCCCCCCGCACTCTCGTTCCGACTCCTCTTCCACACTCCTCGTTTGTGAGGAAGACAACAGGCAATGAGGTGATTGTGAAGGCCTCGTTGAGCTGGAACAGCTGCTGTGTGTTATGGCTGTCCACCTCCCCCCTAAGTGCGCCTTACACGTCAATCGTCGGTTTTAGACGGTGGTTTATTTACACACTTGCAGAAAACTATACATGGCGGACAGTTTGAGTTACCTCCCACGTCGCCTCACTGTTTTCTCTCAGAAGTAGAATGGCGCAGGTAAACTCGGTCAACTTTAAAGTAGTCCTCTGCAAACCACTGAATTCTGTTTTAGATATCATAATAACATCTTGATCCTGGAAAAAAAAGGTTAATTTAGCCACATTACATCGCTTAAATTCTCCACTCTGACCATCAGAGTTCTCTATATCCAGCGCCCCAAATGTCCACCCTCACCAGATCACACACTTGTATATTTCTACAAGAGCTTAGTGCCGGTGCACTGTGAAGTTTGGCGAGCACAGGAGACGTCTAAAAGCAGGGAAAGAGCTTAACCTCACGAGAACAACTTTATTAGGATTTTATTATGTTCGGGTAATGAGCAATAAACACTTGGTTGAGTATTAAATTACAGGTGAAATGCGAGCGTCACACATGGCTGGCCAAACGAATTCCACTGTCCAAGTAATGCTTTTTCTCATGAAATATTTTGGCTCTTCTGCACTCACACATTTTCACGGAGCCCTCGAGATGTGAATTAAGTGCTCAGGAATTAGAGTGGACTGTTACATTCATGATATTCACGTTCTATGTTACCATCCCTTCAGATCATCATCGGGGAGAGCTACCGGATCTACTTTCTGAACGAGGGATCCAAGTCGTTTGTAGGGAACCCCTACTTATCTGCGCTGTACAAGCAAGTGGGCGTGTTCATCTTCGGCTGCGCCATCAGCCAGTCCTTCACCGACATCGCCAAAGTGTCAGTGGGCCGCATGCGCCCTCACTTCCTCGACGTGTGCAAGCCGGACTTCTCCACTATCAACTGCTCCCTGGGCTACATCACTGACTACCAGTGTCAGGGGCCAGAGAGCAAAGTTCAGGAGGCCAGGTATTGTGACAGATTGAGAGAAACGTACAGAAAACGTCTTTTAAAAATTGTTTTGCATTAAGAAAACGGTTAAAAACGCATCATTTAAAATGTTGCATATGTATTTGTACAGACTGTAAGCTGTGGTGCAATGCTGACTGTCCTCTATTCTTCTCAGGAAGTCTTTCTTCTCTGGACATGCATCATTCTCCATGTACACCATGCTTTACCTGGTGGTGAGTAGCTGGATTGTTGTATCGTGTATAAATATACACCGTATTAAGAGGACAATTCCCTCCCACAGATTCGAAAGAGATTCTCTCTAAATCACCTCAAAATTGTGTCTTTTACAGTTTTACCTGCAGTCTCGCTTCAATTGGCATGGAGCTCGCCTGCTGCGCCCTCTGACCCAGTTCACCCTCGTCATGATGTCCTTCTACACGGGCCTGTCCCGAGTCTCTGATCACAAGCACCACCCCACTGATGTCCTGGCGGGTTTCGTGCAGGGAGCCCTGGTGGCCTACTGCATAGTGAGTGGTTCTATCATGTTGTAATCTTGTAATTAGATCAGAAATCATTAAGAATTTGAGTGTCCTTAACTATGAGTTACTTTCATAATGTGTTATTTCTAACTTTTCACGTGAATAATAATATTGATTATAACTTCATTGAAGTAGCCTTCTTCCGGCTGTTAGCATTACCATGAAATGTGAGACCGTGTTTGTGAATTATATTGTAGAGAAGGTGCATGTAAATGGTGAATAGAAAGGGGCCTAATACAGAAGCTTGAGGAACTCCATACTGTATCTGTAAAGGGAAGGAAGTGACGATTCCTTGGTCAACAGAAAAGGATGAAACAGAGACAGGGGAACTATTGTTTATTAGACACTTCTTTGCACCACTTTGCAATGACTCCGATGTTCAAACTATTATTTTCTATTCACTCCGCAGGTATTCTTCGTGTCTGATTTGTTCAAGCCCAAAGGTCGACGTTCTACCCTTTTGCCAACCGCAGTGAAGAAAGATCTTGTTCCTCCGGCAGACATCAGAGAGCGGAGCAACCACCTCATCATGGCATAGAGAAGGCCGCAAACTGACATAACCCTGACCTGTGCCATTTAAATCACTGCTACAGCCACTGGTCAATACTGGTTGACTAAACTCCCAACAATCTGGATAATGCAGACAACATGTGGAGTCTTGAACATCTCAGTTGATGAGAAGAGGCCACGGAAAACAGTCGCGCAAGTTTTGCTTTCTCAACGGAAATTCTCATCTTTTTCCTCAGTCTCACCAGACATTTTAATGTGGAAAAGAGAGAGGACAAGGATATTTGTACCGCTTCTGTTATGAAGATCATTGGAGACTCTCCTCTGTCGAGGCCTTTTCGTGGACAAAAGTCTGAAATGAAACAAAACTGAGAAATGGAAGCTGTAAACCAAGCTGTGTGTGGCTTTTGTGCCGTTTTCGCCCGTCGGCTGCATCCAACGTGGGAGCTATATTCCTGCCACTCACTCACTGTGTGACTAATACAAACAAATCATGACAAAAAAACAAATTCCTTGATTTCATGAAGGATGTTTGTTTGGTTTTATTACAAACATAAGCATTGCATGTGTGATTTATAGCACCATTTTAGCTAAACTCAGTAGTGTTTGTCACCACTTGATTGACCTGAAGTGAAGCTTTTGGAAAGCTTTGTAAACGTTTGTTTGTTGTCCATAATGTAGTGTAGTTACTTTAGAAAGTGCACATAAGTTACAGTAAGTGTAAAGTACAGTGAGAGTGTGTGTGTTGGATGTGGGCCTCTTTCTGCTGGCTAGGACGAGCCCCCACTGAGCCATTTAATGAAATGACTGTCTGTTATATGTACCAGACGGGCGCTCACAAGTGTTAGGTCACTGTGTGTGTGTGTGTGTGTGTGTGTGTGTGTGTGTGTGTGTGTGTGCTTTGCATATACATGTGTGTGTTTGGGTGAGGTCTTCCTTTGAGTGTGTCTTAATGTCATGTCTATATATATATTTCAGTGTTTTATAGCCTACAAATGTGCCTCTCTTCAGAGAACAAGCACCTGCACCAACACGTAACTTAGAGACGGAAACACTGTGGAAGAAAGCATCACATGTACATCACTGTTACTACTAATCATAGTGTTGATTCACTTCACGAGAAATCTTGTGATATACTGTATGCTACACAGGCATATATATACACTTAAAGTACAGAAAAGGACTTCCTCGAGCAGTATCAAAGTACAATTTAGCAAAACAGTAATTTAAAAAATCATTATTTTTGGACATTGTGACCTCTTAATAGCTCATTGAGTTGTAAAGTAATACAAAAGGGCTGGCAATGGGGCTCTGCATTTAAATAGACGAAAATCCATTCTATTGAATTTTTATAGTAATGAGTCTAATATGTTTGGCATGACATTAATGTCATTAACATTTTAGCAAAAAACAACTAAAACCACTGACTGAGAGCATCATCCCAACTCTATTTTAAGTAACTGAGATGAGCTTTGATGTGCCGCTTATAGGAAAACTATTTTTTACAGCATCAGAACATTTCGCGTGCTACCATACATGTGTATACATCCAATATATCTTTTGAAGAAACACCCACTATGACTTGTGTGTCGAGACCTGTGTAAATGTAAAACATGCTGCTTTAAAGAGGCAAAGCTTGGCAGATGTTGTCCAGTACGGTTGACAACTTGTGAATATTAAGTTTTATGAACAACAAAGCTCTCAAGGCAGACTGCTTCTGTGCATTTATTAAAAATTGCCTTTTAATATTTTTGTAATGTCATGTGAAATTTTGTACAATGAAACTGTAAGACGTATCAAAGATAAAATGTCTTTAATAAAAACATAAAAGATCAAGAGCAGCGTGCCGTGATGTGTTTTTTTTCACTCTCTGTGTCGTACATGGCATGTGCGAGAATCTCTTGACTTTTGTACTAATTCAGAAGCCGGCCAACTGTGCGTGTGATGGAAAGATCTGGGCGTGGGGCAATGGTAAGACTTCCATGCTCGGCTTCCTGTGGGGAAATAGTGTACATTCCAGGCTTTAACCCCTCTCCCCAATGGCTCTCTGGAATAATATAGACTCCACAGAAAGTATGCCAGAGTGGCAAAATACATTCACATGTGAGAATGCTTAGAAGCAATGTAATTTGCCTTCAGTGTCTTGTATTATCCTTATAGACAACTTTGCCTCCACATAAAACCTGAATAAACCATAGAACATCAACAGGCTGTACATGTTAATTTCCTGCATGTGTCAGCACATCACGAGCTGGGTTTTGTGGTGGTCACATGGTATCTTAAGCCGATTGATTTCACTGTGGATCAGGTGCAGTGCCCAGAAGGAGATTGGACTTGGTTAGTTTTATTAAGCTGCAATATGTGTTTGGTTTTTATGACCACGCCATGGGTGATACTAATGTGCAGCAGCTGTCTTGTGTTATGACTACTACTGAATGACTGTTTCCAATGTCTTAATTGGACACAAGACTGCAGCCTATAAGTGTGTGCTTTGTTGTTCAATTAAAATTTGTCACCACTTTGGTCCAAACTGAAACATCTCAACAACTATTGGATGGATTGCCGTGCCTAGAGGATAACTGTGACTTTGGTGATCCCCAGGCTTTGTCTCCAGCACACAATAAGGTTGATCTTTTTGGTTTTCAGTGAAATTTGTCTACAACTATTAAATGGATTGCATGAAATTTGGCAGAGACATTCATGTGTTGTCCCCCATGAATGAAACCTAATGACTTTGTTGATCCTCTGATTTCTCATTTAACACCAGCAGCAGGCCAAAGCTTTCACCTATCCAGTGAGATATTTGAACAAGATAGCCTTTGCACAGCTTTTTGTACACATATTCATGGTCCCCTGACTTTTCCTCGAGCACTATCTAAAGGTTCAAATTTATGGTTATAATATAAGTGAAATGTCTTGGCAGCTATTGGATGTCCACCTAAAGATTATTTGAAAAAAGGAGATCCCATAACTTGTTTTGCAAACTTTAACCTGTTAGCACTGTCATTTTGAGCATGTTAGCATACAAATGTTAGCATTTAGCTCAAAGCCATTCTTCAAGAAGTCGCTAGCTTGTCTTGCTATGACCGTCTCAGGAGCAACAGTGTTGTGTAGCCATTTCCTTTTGTTATGACTACTACTAAATTAGTTTTTCTTGTTTCTTAATTGGGTGAAAGACTACACCCTACAGGGGGTGTGTGTTCCTTATGGTAGATATTAGGTTTTTGTATTGCTATGTTAACTTGCTACCATCCTCTGAGTACAAAGTTTCCATCTCTCTTGGCCTCTTCCCTCTAAACCAAATATGGAGCGTGTTTGATCTAAGTGATCTAATGAAGGTGTAAAGACGTCTTTGCTACCAAACATGGCAGTGCCTATAAGTCCATGAGTGTTGCTCTCTCTCTTCAACAAATATCAACATCCAGTGCCAAAAAGCCTGACTTAATGTTTATCTTTGTGACCCAGTCCTGACCCGCTCCATTAAACCATCAGGGGTGCAAGATTTTCTCAAAGATGTCTTTGGTTGTAATTGAAAGTGAGAGAAGTGGAGTATATCTTTAGTACTCACCAGACCAACAAATTGCACAGCATTAGTTTTCACCGGAGCCATTTTTCTTGTTGGGATTCAAAGAGGCTTTCTTGATCAGCAGATCTTAACATGACGGAATCCTTTTCATGTGGTCCGGAGAAAAGAAAAAACTGTTGTGTTGTTCCACCGCAGTTTAACCCCTTTTACTTGTGAAGTAATTACCCTGTGTGATTAACAAATTATTCTCATGAACTCTGTCGTACTGTTGTGGTTGCTCAGAAGTGATGACTTTATTCTCTTTCTTATTTATCCCCTACACACACATACACACACACACACACACACACACACACACACACACACACACACAATTAAACCACCATCCCCTTTCCCACTGAGATTGTTGCAACTGTTTTCACTTTAATGACTAAACTGATGCATTTTCACATCACCCAAACACATTAGACTGCTTACACACTCTTCAGATGCAACTATGTCTTTTTACAATGTGAAAGCTGTTTTTAGCTGTTACTGTCATGGTTTGGTCTTGCTATAATCAATTTGTAGTTTTTGTAAAAAAGTCACTTGAGTTAAAAGGAGTAAAAAGCAAAGGGAACAAACCAACCTGGTTCATTCTTCTTGAAAGGCTGCACTTCTGAGAGTTTGGCCCGTCTGTTCCTTCGGTCGACTTGAAGCCTGTCATACAGTCTGACGTCACACGACATTATTGGCAGTAGTTGCTGAGGTCATTTGTCCTCTCTCTGACAGATGGAGGGATGCTGAGAGGAAGCGAGGCACACCCTCCGAATGCCCTGGCTGATAAGTGACCTCATTACAGCTTCTCCGGGCATGTTTTTCTTATTCACAGAACACCATGATGACGGCTGGCTCCCCAGGAGACCTTGGCTTTTGAGCCGTGCCAAGCATTTGGACTTTCGGAGAGTTTTTCATTACTTGGCTCATGGCACACAATCAGTTTCCAGGGCTATCACTATCAGACTGAAACATTTACATATACATGGAAATTCACCAAATCTTGAATCTCTCTACACTCGTTGTTTACAAGCACATTCTTCACTCTCAAATGTTCTGTTTGAGTGAACTGGAACAAAAGCGAGGAGAAGAGAGCAGGCCTTAAACATGTTATGTAAGTCTCCTTTATCTGCCCCTCACTCAACCACAAACACAATACATGCAAACGCCCCATTGTGTTTGTGCCCAGAAGCCCTCAGACTTTAAGTTGCAGTGCTGCTTACAGTTACTTACAGCTGCAGTGCTGCAGCTGTAAGTAATTCTCTCTCTTTCATTCTTTCTCTCCTCATCCTCCCCTGTGTCTGGATAATGTAAACATCAAGAGGGAGGTAAAATCTCTGCCACCACTACCTTTACAGCTGATCTGGAGACAGGGCTACACTGACCGGGAGTCTGAGCCTGACACAGGCTAATGTACACAGAGGGCTAAGTGCGATTAGTGTTTGGCTTGTTATGTTGCAACATTTTGTTGACAGTTTAACCCTATCCTGGAGCTTTTCCAGCTCAACATCAACATTGTTGTTGCAAAACCTTTTTTGTAGATGTGTTCCATCCTGTGTTCCAACATGATTACCTCCCTCATCATTCTCTTGAAACTTTACCTAAAAACTTAAAATTTTATGTGAGAAGGTTTTCAGAAAAATAATGTCTAGATTCACAATATGACTCTCTGGGTATCTGTGAACCCCAGAGGCTAGGCGAAGATCAATAAATCAGGATTACAGGACAATTACAAGCAATTTATCATTCATGCTCTCCAGAGGATGAACCATTTGGATTTTAGACCCTCGATGAGATTTCCGAGGACAATCATCAGGTGAATCACGATATACTCAAATGAATTTCCATCATGTAATTTTATTGTGACTATTCATGGTTCCCAGAAGACTTCAAAGCAAAAGGCTTATTGTCATTTGCTGAACACAATCATGCTCATCAGGGGAGGAACCTTTGCAAATGTGGTTATTCCACAACTTACCTTTATCCTAGTGACACCCTGAGGTCAAACTTTAAAGTTTTAGCTTCCCTAACAACAAGGCAGTAAGAATAGTGTACTACTGGACAACGACAGCTCTACTGGTGGGGTTTTAGACTTCATGCATTGTTTCACTGTTTCATGTCATAGTCATGCAACGACTTCCATAAAATCTCTAAACGCACACGAGCATGTTACTTGAAGCTCTTTAAAAGCCATTTCTCACAGAAACCTCGGTTCCCTTTACCCCTTAAAGACATATACCCCCACTCATTCCCAACATCTTAAAAATGATTTGTAACCCCAAAATCCGAAGGCCAACCCCCACCCCCCCCCCCCCCCCCCCCCCCCCCCCCCCCC